GATCCTGTGAGCTCGACTCCGATTCCGAAATTACATCTGATACCGCTCTTTCCCTATAATTGCGGGCTGTCTCTAGAGACCATACCATGAGCCCGGCTCAAAAGACAAAATAGTCCGCTGTCTCCGACGACGAATGTTCGGAACTCTCGGGACGGGCCTGTGCCTGTAGTCAACGCCGGGAGTAGCGAGGATACTCCAAAGGGGAAGAATTCCTCAATTAAAAGCAATGACTTCTGTGTGGAACTGGCGTAACCCTAAAGCCTCGAAAGCTCGGAAGCGGGGGGGATAAACAGGTTGGAGGAGAAAGCAAATGGCACTGGGAGATCTGGAATGGATCTCTGCATGAGGCCTCCTCGACGGTCACCCACACACTCGAGAACGCTGAAGAGCGAAATCCATGGAACTCCGAATATCAACGAATATAAGCGGAGTAGACTCGACCGGAAGGAGAAGTCAGCGCGACATGGTCCCCTTCCAAGGCGAAGCCCTCGGAACCAAGGTGACGTCTGGTTCGGCAGACAGCCTGCGGCATATGATCTCGATACCGTCGAATCTGAGAGAGTTATCGCTGTGACTTCATCTAGAGGGTTTCCACTCATTTAGTGCGGGCTAGATAGCGTCGCCGGAGCGCCACGCTGTGGGACAGCAGTCTCCATGAGCAACTCATTCAATAAATACAAGTGTGGCCTATTTTGGGTTGGTGATGTATGAAGAGGGAATAAGTGACAAGACAGCGTGCGCCTCTAATGTCCCTCTGGTCGAAGATCGGGCCTCCCGGAGCCGTCCCGAACAGCTCTGAAACAGCTCCATAGGGTGCGTATGTTACTTTCAAAAACGCAGATGATCCGCGACCGAGTTGTGGGTATTCATGTCGCCCGTACGAACATCAGAATTCGGCGGTCATGGTCCGCCCGGAATCCATCGGCTCTCTTTGGTCGAGTGCACCGCAGATTCCATCGTGATGAACCTTTTTTACTGTTCAAACAGATCGATGATGACGGAATATCAGACAATCAAAAGCATCGGAGTGACCAGGTTGATGGTCCCATCGAGGTCTTGATCTCACGGGAGGCGAAACGCTCCCCTCATTTTCCGGACGGAGGAAAAATCTTTAGCAGCGCTCAGAGTTATTGAGCCACAGGGAGTGTTGTCGTTAATTATCTCTGGAAAGACCGAGTTGTATTGTCTCCTTTGGTGAAGAGGCCCAGCATTCTGGCTTGGCGGAAGAGACTGGCTGGGCTGTCTTCCCAGGATGAGATCAGATATCTCAGAGTCTCTGCTTGTACTCCATCGTATGGAAACCATCTGACGGCTCTCGGCAACCTTCAGATATATACGAGTATAGAGGGTGCTGGAATCTGGTTCGAGGATTTGGGCTCTCTCGGAGACCAAGCGCTCTCCGGAGCTCTCTTCCGCGCGAGGTGGATAATGTTCTCCGGTAATCAATATGGGTTGACCAGTGAAAGCCCCATCGGACTCCGGAGAATCTCTTGCCAATAGGTTCCTTAATCGAGAATCGGCTGGCTCAACGAATGACGAGGTCTGGAATATCCGACTGATGAGGGAGCGATTGTGGTCGCAGGCACAGGATCAAGTCGGAGCTGAGCCGAACTGCCCAAATCAGACTTGTCCGTCTGAAATCGGAAGTCTCCTTCCACACAATGCATCGTCTGGAACTCTCGATGAATCCATAGGCGCACATTCTGGCCTTTGGACTGCTTTCTGGGTATCGCTCGCTCGAGCACGCCTTCTCTAAAAATTTCACGGCAATGACTTCCAGCTTTGTTGTAGTCATCAGAATTTAGTCTGCAGTCGTTAAGACTTCCTATCCGTGATTGCTCTCCCGAGCGGGCGTGAGCGTTGGAAACTCTACGTTTGCGTCCCGACTTTTCGGCAAAGCTTGAGCGCTCGGCATCGAGCTCTTCCGTTGAAAGAAATAATTCCTATCGCCAAGAGAGCTGGATATCGAGTTAAATTCGTGAGATCTCGTGATACGGGGCACGCGTACCCCAAGCGAGCCAGCAAACATGAAGGAAGAACCGAGAGAAGATCCGAACAAAGAATTCGGCGTCGTTGATGGTGGCGCCGGCCAAAGCCATGCCGGTTGCGGATGGTTTCTTCGAAAAATCCTCGAGTCTTCTGGGAGGAGACTTCTTTAGGAGCGTTAGCCCGCCGTCCGACCGTCCGGCCGGCCAACCCACCGTTCGGTCCGTCGCTAGGTCGGTCATCCCTCATCTGAGTTCTCTTTTGTGTTCGTTCAGCAGTCCGATCATAAACGGAGATGTGCCGGAGAGACCGTTTGCTGGGATCGAGGACGCTACTCAATTCCTGGAATTCTGTTCTCCGATTCCCTGTCAGAAACTCAACGGTTAAGTAGAGACTCAGCCACGTCATCCTGTGATATTCTGCAGCGTAGTCTGGAGTCGATCGGCGTACATAGAGGCGTCTCCGGTTTTCGCGGAGGCAGTTTACAGACACTCAAAGGGTTACATCTGTTTGTGTTTATATCTCGGGGCCTCAGCTTCTCGGTTTCTGTTTTGCGCCGTCCGCGTCCACTGAAGCTTTACCTTTCTTCGGTATTCAATCCTTTGATTACGGTTCAGAAATCGAGGGGTATGCTAGGAGCGCTTCATACACGACACATTGTCACATCGACATTATCTCCACAAGCCAACGGTGTTCTCCGTGAATCGCATGAATTCGTGGGAATTAAGAAGTAAAGGAGACGTCCTTCCTTGAGATCAAGCAGAGAGTTTTGCTGAATGATTCGACGAATCGACCAGGGAGCTGAACGCACCCTCACTATTTTTGGGAAAATCGATGCTGCCGAGCGCTCCGATTGCCACTCCCTTAGAGTCAAGAGGCTGACCTGGCCAAACATTCCTGTAGAAAGCCGACTCGGCCCCACCCCGAGACAAAGATAACGATACTGGAGAAATGTCGTACCAGCAGGTACGCACGTAATTCCCCACAGACGCAGATCCCCTCGTCGTCAAATCGTCAAAACGTTCCATGAGAGCGATGACGTATCCCAGGGTCGAAAACACTCGCGACTAACATGCGCATATGATAGCAATTTCTTTGTTTCCCTTGGAGCTTGCTCCTCAAGCACCTGAGAGTGTTTTTCCTAGGTCTCAGAGCTGATTCACGCCCTTGTGACGCCATGCCCCCACGTCATAGGATGACGAGCAGCTTCAGAATCCATATTTTTCATCGAATCCACATAGCGCTTACGGAAACGCTAACCAAGAGGGAAGTGAAACTCATTGAACTTTGTCAATCAGAGAGGTGACTCCGACCACTCCAAAAGAGCGGGAGACCGCTCCGGTCGGTTATCGGCGGAAAGGAACCGATAGGTATCGAGCTTGTGATCGAGGAAGTTGAGTGCCGGAAGTTTCCGCACAGACGATCTTTCGCGGTGCCATATTATTCGAAAAATTTTCATTCGAAAAATAAGTATCTCCTCATGGTTATATCGGAATTTCTTTCGGGTCGAGTTTGCTTTGCACCCTCCCGGGGCCCGCAAGGTCGAAGCTGGCATTCCTTTCTCAGGACTCAGTGAATGCCGGCAATCTTGAAATCACAACGGAACGTCATCATTTATCAGTGTTAGTATTTCGGAGTTCCACATCGAGGTGCGATACAAGGCCGGAATCTTCGAAATCTGCCCCTCATGGGGTACCTTCTGTTCTTAGGAAGACCGCGTAGGGTACGCGAAACCTCGACGAGGAATGCCCAACCCGTGGGACTTGGGACCTGAGCAAGCGTATCCCAAACGAGGACGCGCGAATACTTCTGAATCCTTCAGAGTCGTTCCGACTTCAAGTTGAGTCGGATTTCTGTTTTGGCCCAGAGATTGAGAAGGAATCGTGATGGAAACGCAGTTTCCCCCCTAGAGAATTATCAGAACACGATGCCGGACAAACTCATACTCATCAGGGGAGAAAAAAGTCCGCTGGAATCCTTGTAGCTCGCTGATGCCTGGAGCTTAGGGAAATATCGTTAATCGGTTCCGAGACTCGAGCGGAAAGGCGGTTCCTCCTCGAAGCCCCGAGCGGAGCTCGAGTAACTTTGAATCAATGGCAAGCATCCTGCAGCTTTCTACTTCGGAAGATTAGCGACCCGCGGAGCACTTCAGCACAGCTCGCGAGATCCCGTTGGTATGCTACGAGCCAAGATATTCAAATACACCCTCTGTCGATATACTCTCGACCTTGATTGGAGTTGCGACTCCCAGTAGAAAATCGGGCCACCCTTCTCCGCCGCGGGCACGCTTTGACGGGGATGAGCAAGGTCCGACGATCTCTCTGGACTGGTCAAGCCAGAACGAATAGCACTAGGATCTACTCCGATTGTGAGAATACTCGATTTTTCCTGAATCGCTAGGAGCCACTGGCGCTGCCTTGAAACCTCCAGCATTGGTTAGGCAGCTCGTCCACAGTGAGAATCGCTACTACAGATAACATGTGGTTCGTTGCATTTTGCTCGCAGTATCTGATCACAGGAGCAGAAAGGAGTCACATCAACTCACCGGTACCTAGTACTAGTTTCGGGAGCAGTCACATCTGGAACTGACAGCGAGGTCCGACCTCGCTATCGTACAGGGGAGCTCAAACGCCTTATCCGTGAGATTCGCCCAGAGGTGCCGGCGAATTCGGATACTAGAAATCGTGTGATTGAAGAAGACGAACAACCGCTCCGCACACGACGGAGAAGCCTCGCCGTGAGATTACGGTATGGATATCCATAAGATCAGGAACTCAGGTCACCTATCGGTCTCTGGAACTTCATCGCTGAGGTGTCTGTAGCATCGGAGAGATATCGATCGCTGTACCGTTTCCCTGCCGGTGCCGTCTGCTGCCACTCTCCCGCTGCTGCTCCAGTTGCTGCTCTCTCCTCTCGGGCTGGCGGCTGCTGCCATCGGAGCGGAGTGTTTGAGTCATTTACAAATGGCGGCACTCTTCGCAGCAGCTATTTTGCTCGGGTCCGTCGTTTAGCAGGCGAATATTTGACGGAGTAACTCATTGTGTTCCAAACAAACTAGTGCTCTTGGTGCTCATATTGGTGACAATCAAGCCTGAAATTGTGCCAGAGAAAATGTAACTTTGTCAAGAACGGTCTCAGGATCAAAAGCGCTATTCGAGAGTAAGCCACTAAGCAGTATGGGGAATATCTATGCAGCCCATGTACCAATTGTTTCGACTATCCACATTGATTACATTTGAACACTCTTAGCCGCTGTTTCAGGTCGTCCATTCGAAATCGGAATCATGAGTGAATTACAGATGTTCAGCTGTGGCAATAAACGGAAGCTGCAGCTGATGTCGTTCTCTTCGTTGATCGACGCCTTGAGAGCAGGCGGAGCACTGACCCAAGAGAAGAAAGCTCTGCTGCAGTTAACGGTCAACTCGTTGACGATATCCTCTGAGCGATACAAAGCGGAAATCCGTCGCGCCGTAGCCAAGGCGAGGAGCTACAGCGACATCGACGACACGCCATGGGCCATGGAAGGCCGACGAGATACGTTCCTGTTGCCACGGAACCCTTCGCGATCGACTTGGGCTGCCCCGTACGCGGCCTACACACCGAAAATGGTTCCAGCGCTCGTGAAGTTGCCCAAAGCTCCATGCAAGTCGGTCGAAACTCAAACCGTCACTCCGCCGAAGCCCATCGTCAATCCCAAATTAGTCGTCGTGAGCTCCCCTCGCACCCAAACTACGCCTACGGTTGTCTACGCCAATCCCAGCGGACAACGTCAAGTGCGGATAAATTCGCAGACGATCGGTAAGACCATTCCAGTGGTCGTGAATTCGAAGGGTCAGGCGAAACTTGTTAGTATGCCAACTGTCGTAAAGCCGACTGTCGCCTCGATGACTCCGGTCAATGCTCAAAAGACATCGCAGCATCTTGTTGTCAGCAGCTCGGCGAATCAGCACAGCAAACAAATTGTTATCACGACACCCAATAATATTGTACATAAAATCAGCGCTCACGGAGCGACCCAGACCCTTCAGGTTCGACCGTCGACTGGAACGGCCGTCGTGACGAAATTGCTCAACACAAACCGAACGGGGGAGCTAAAGGTTATTCAAAGACCTCGTGTAGCTCAAATACGGGCCCTAGGCGCACCAGTGGCGACCTTAACGCCCGTCGGCGTGCGGCTCACCCAATCGAATGGTCGATCACCGCAGTCGTCGTCCAGCACCAGTTCGGACTCGGCTGGACCACCCCCCACTAAAATAATGAAAGCCGCAAGTCAGTGGAACTACGATGACCACTCGGTGATGGCCAAACCTCCAGGTGTAGCTCCGTCTTCGACATCGGTAGAAGCGATGGGAATCAGTGTCGGTGGGGGCGATGAGTCTACGGAACGGAAATCATCAGCGAGCAACTGTGTTCCCGTGAGCAGCGCAGCGTCCTCAGCAAACCCTCAAACGAAGACGGTTCAAATAGTTCAAATGTCCACGAGTGCTCAAAATTCTCACGGGACGACGACGGTCGCCGTGGCAGCGTCCTCATCTCCTCGACACGCAACCAGGCCTGTCAGGATGGTCACGCCGACCCCGATAATGCAGAGAGCGAGAGATTCTTCGAGAGCCGCCAGTGTCGCGTCAAACGTTGTAGTTCAGAGTTTACCCTATCAAAATTATCAAGGTTCCATCTATAAAATGGTTCCCGAGGACGTCATTCTGGAAGAGGAGGTCGTATGACAGCGACGCACGCTTTCTAGGCCATCGCAGTAACTATATACATTGTGTGCCAGACGCGATTGTAGATCTGTAAATGCAAATGTGGGGCTCTCGGGGTGGATAGTATCATCACAAATCCTCGATCAATTTCTCCTAGGTAGCCCTAGCTTCGTCGGCTGAATGTAGCGTGATGTACAGTGTTCTCTTCGTTCCCCGTCGATCGTTGGCGCTGAAGGAGTCGTGGGCCTCAGGAACTTCGGAACTAAGGGAGACAGCATCGGAATCGGATCGGAATAATCACATTCACATATTATACATGGGAATCTCTCTATGTCTTCTAAATAATTATACTTGATTGGATCCGAACGCCACTGACGCGACAGACGACGAACTTCAACGGATATGCTCCTCAAGGCCGCTCCGGCTCCTTGCGGCCGTTCTGTAATCAGCACATGTTCCTGAGCACATGAGTTCGTTCCTGTAAATGTAAAGTACAGTTGGTTGAAAGCATCAAGAATCGTACGATTGTCGTTGACTCGAGGTGATCGGTATGGGTAGATCCTCGGAAGTCTGAGAGCGTTTTTTTTTAAGATTACGTAGTGTTGTTATGTGAGTCTTGCGTGTATCCGGACAAGAATCACTTCGCGTCTTTCGAATACACAACTTTGAAATACTCGTGACTCTTCACCAACGCCGCCGTTAATTCCCTCCACTTTCATCTGGTAGATTTCCTGAGTTTGACGGACCTTCCTACGACTAGCCGACAGTTCTTGTATCACACAGGATAATAAAATTAATTCATCTGGAAACTATGGGAGTCCTTCCATTCAAGGGCCACGTTCTTCGCTCATCACACCTGTACCTTCGAAAAGCCGTGGTGGGTTGAATCGAGCGTATTGTGCAAAAGCCGCAATGGTCGTAATTATTATCGTTTCGATGTGGACTATACAGCTTTGTGGAAATATCCGGGAACACTTCACACCGTTTGAGATACACGCGAAGCGGCGCTCCGATCTCTGATGCGCTTTGCTCAGTGGTAAAGGACACCTCGAACTGCATCAGCCTTGAAGACGAACGAAGCCCAATAATTAGAGCCTACGGATCCGATTCGCGATGCGGTCCGCTTGACCGGCGACCACTTCTCTTCCTTGGTGAGCTTTGTCTTCTGATTCCTCTCTGAGAATGGGATCACTCGCAGAAAATGTACAGTCGAACCCGCTTATAAGAAAAGCGCTTAAAATAGAAAACCGGATATAAGAGACCATTTCCTATTCCCCGAGAGGTCTCTTATAAGCGGGTTCGACTGTACTGGGAACCCCCGTAGGAGGATAGGAGACGGATTTCTATCGTTTGCGGAGCATTTATTCAGGTAGCGGGATTTCGACGAAGCACATGCATGTATTGCACGTATATATGGAGCCAGTTGCGCTACAGCCTCGGCAATCTTGTCAAGTTGTACGGCCGGGCAAATCTGGAGAGATGAAAGTCTTGAATGGTCCCACCGATTGAGCTCATAATAATTCTTCTCTATATGTCGGACGACCCATCTCACCTCCCACAAGAGAATGATTGGCCCTTGGATTAGATGAACTGCGGTGCCAGGTCAGCAACCGGCTATGGAATGATTGCGAGTGTATTTGAATAAATAAATGACACACAGCATTCCTTTTATATACAAGCGCGCTAGTTTCTAGAAACTAGGGTTTTACTTTCGCATAAACTTCGGATCACATTGAATAGGCGGGCTGCTTCGCGATCCAGCCTGACTGATCGTTCGCTATGAATTCCCGTCGGCGCTTCTTCAGGCTCTTTCTCTATTGAGCACCGCTGACGCTCCCATTCATTTGATTCCTCGCAGTCTCGAAGAGCGTTTCGTAACTCGCCGGTTTTACACTCACTAGCTCATCGAGCAGCTCGCCGAAATGCTCGACATCCACCATGATTTGCAATCGAATTTTATCGTCGTCGCTTATTCCCTGGGTCTCGTTGACTTTACCTTTCTTCAAACGTCTCAACGAGTCTTCCATCTTTCGGACGGATCCCAAAACGTCTTGCGTGGTACTAAGAAACGAATCACATATGTTTTGAGCGAACGTAATTGACCAATCCGGCTTCCAATTTTCTGAAGAGCTACGACATTTGAATACCGGGTCAAACAGTGCGTTAACGTAGGCAGACGGAGCGTTAGGGATGTCTCTGTTGGTGCGTCGATAAAGTCGAGGGATGTCCGTGATTTGCCTGATGCTGGATTGAGCGATTTGGCAGAGGATATCGATCGCTGTGCTCGACAGTTCTTTCGTTCGTTCTGACAGAGCCACCAGAGAGTGTTCGAGGCATTCTACGAAGAGTTTTTTCTCTTCTTCCAGCAGATGAGCATCACAACACTCACAGATGGACTCGACCGTAATCCGCTGGCAGTCCGAGGCTGCTTGGAATAGGGTTATCGCACTCCGCTCTTCATTAGAATGCGTTTGTCGTGCGAAATGTTCCAAAAAGGTGCCGTACCGCGCCAGAAGCTGGACGGTCAGCTTGAGGAACTTTAACTTCAAACCCTCTATGAAAACTCCTTCGGACCAACAATACGCTATCTGTTTGTACAGATTTTCCGTTACGGTCAGCATACTATTTTTCTTCGAAAAAGGCTCATTGCCCACCAACAGAGCCGTTTCGAAATTCGTCGCTATCTCTGTATACCGTAGCTGAAAATACACCCCGATGCTCCATCTGCTCATGAAAGTTTTGTACGCGTCGCTGTCTCGAAACTGTTGAATCGACTTCTCGGGTAGATGGTTCTCGAGCGTTTCTAGGAATCGTCGGGCTTCGCTATACCTCACGTGGAACATTGTTGCCGACGTCAGGCTGAAGAGGGTCGGAATCCTCGTTTCTGCTAGGGAAACGAAAACCGGAAATACGGCCCGAAGGATGAAGTCGTATTCGGGGGGCGAGCACTTGGTCAGCGGTGCGGTATTCGTCGTAACGAACATGATCACCTGATTGAAAAGACCGTCGCTGAGAACCTCACGGAGCACTCTCTCCGTGACGATCTCCTCCAGAGCAGGTTTCACTATTCGGTCCGAGTAGAAGCCCTCGATGAAGTGAACCCGGTCGACGAGAACCGCGATTTGCAGTACGTGATGGAGCTGATTCTCATCGTGGTCCTGTAGAGCATCGAGGAATTTAATCTCGAGGTAAGCCTGCAAGCGCGCTTTAACTTCGTCGATAGCTTCGGCCGCCCGTCTCGCGAGAGACACTCCCCGGCAACGTTCAAGGGAAACCGCCAGACTGTGGATCTGGCTGGCAGTCCGCTCAACGAGATCTGGATTCCAGGGTTGGTTGTCTTTGGGGAGTCGATGCACACCCCGGTAAACTTCCAGGGCCAACAGTATCTGACCTCTGAGCTGGCGATCTTTTTGGCGCTGGTCGAGCTTCTCTTCGGTTTCTCGCAGAACCGCCTCGATAAGGTTGCTGACGTCCGTGACTTCGTCTTTCAACTTCGTCAGCGGCTGGGAGATGTTTCCGATGTATTTTTCGAGCCCCACGAGATTTGATGACAAGTTGACGAAATCAGTGTAGTGCTCGTTGATGAGCTCCAGCAGACATTCCTGTAGATACTTCAGATGTGATCGCAGATCCTGGCGCAACTGTTCGAGCCCGACTGCTTTCCTTTTTTCGCAAACGAACTTATCCACGGAGAAGTCGCTACTAAAAAATATTTCCCGATCGAAGCAGAGATCATGAGAGGACTCGTCCAGGAAGGATGCCATCTGATGGGAATCGAGAGAATTAGGTTTAGAGAAGATATCCAAGACTCAGTCTAGGGGACATTTCGTTCAATTCATCGGAGCCGCAACACTACAGCCGGTTCCTCGTCGCTATCCATCCGGCCCTAAAGGATCGGTGGAGATGCACAATCAGAAGCATGAGGCGGAATCCGTCATAAATGCACATGGAGACCGTCAAGGTGAATTGGCGATGTTTGAAACAAAAAGATTTGACGGATCGAGTCAAGGGAACAAATGAGGACTTCAGTACACTTACTTCGAGCACTTTCAGCTTGACGTTACGCACAGCCACCGAACCCCGTGGAAAGCATGGTCGAATTATACTCCCGGAAATTCCGTAGAACACGGCCTAAGGAAACGGTAGATATTCCCCCTGTCCTATGTTGTTGACGTGTGAGCTCTTACTGTACGCTGCCAGCAAAACATTCGAAAATCGTGGGCGCTTCCATCACTGATGATTCTGCTGCTGACTCAAAGCATGGGTCGCTGTGGCGGCCTTTTTTGAACTCCTCATCCGTCTCCAGCGTCGCTCCCGGGCTGGCCTCGCATATTCGCTAGACGGCGCTCTAATAATTCTGGACACTAGGGGGACGGATAGTCGTTGGAATCCGTTGAATCATCAAATTTAAAGGGGATCAGTCCGGTGTCGCGGATGGTGCATGTCGGGTTTCCATCGCTTCTGGCCGTGTCCAGAAAACGTGGAAACCGATGCCGGCATGAGCTCAAGGACGAGGGAGCCACCGACGCAACTTGCACGATCGAAAGGGCTCGAGAAAAGTCTGACTGAGGGCGACGAATCGACTCGGGTTGCAATCGGGGCTTTATTCGTTCAATTTAATTTCCTATGGAATCATTTGGAGGGAATAACTGGGAATACCCGCTCAACACCAATGCATCAAGATCAGATCCAGGACCTGCAGTCCGTGTTAATCAACTCAAAGCCGGAACAAAACAGCATTAAGAGGGAATACAGAATTGCACGCTGCAGGTGGACTTCGTCTAAAGAAGAGCTAATTGTACATAACGAAGGCTAACTCCGGTACGGGTCGCTCGCGAGTCCCCCCTCACCGCCCGTCGCCGATTAGATGGCTGGCGACTTCGGACCGTTGTTGAGGGACTCGGGAACGGCGTGTTAGGATTGGAAACGTCGTGCCACACGCTTTCCCCATACTCGTCGTGCTTCTGTTTACCGATATAAATAGTTTATTTACACAGATGACGGACACCTCTCAACGCTGTCCTCAACTGAGTTGCATGATTTCGGTATCCTATTTCACTCTCATTCGCTTTCTCTTTCCGTACGGAAACTCAATTTCAAGTTTTTCTAAACTTCGGATCCCTCAGGGTCCGAACATTATCCATCAGAGGGGAATACTGCTGCCGGTGCGTCGTTGTCTAGCTCGTTTGGCAGCTGACTCCTTGTCCGTGGCCCTCACCTCCCATGTAGTGTCGCTCGCCGTCTTCGCGCCTACCTTCCTCCTCGTATCGTCGTCTACGACGCTCATTCTCGAGGTCGAAATCCTCCATGAACACCTCCTCGGCGTCCTCAGTGATCATGACCTCTTCGCGCTTCGGGAGAAGATTTTCTAATTGGCAAGCGATCGCCGGATCCACACGTTGGGGGAACTTGACGGCAAACTGGACAATGAGCCTTCCTTTCTCGAATGGATTCTTGTACGTGGGCATGCCTTCGTTCATGATGCACTTGATGTCGCCGTGCTTGATCACGTCTCCCGGCATCTGAGTGATTACCAGCATTCGATTGTCGAGAGTCTTGATCGGTCTCTGGAAGCCGCAGAGGGCCTCGGTGAGACTGATTTCCATTTTCATGCTGAGGTCGAGTCCTTCGCGGGCAAAGGTCTCGTGCTCCTTCTCGTCGACAACGAAAATGACGTCCCCGGGCTCCATTCCTGGCTCTTGATCACCCTCGCCGACGAAGGGAATCTTTTGTCCTTGTTCCATTCCCTTATCGATGTGAACTTCGAGAATCTTCCGCTCCTGAATGGTTTTCTGGCCATCGCAGACTTTGCAGCGGTCTCCAGGCGCACAATTCTCCCCTTGGCCCGAGCAATCGTCACAAATGCTCTGGCTCTGTTGGACCATGCCAGGAGCGATCTGCACGACGCGTATGACAACTCCTTGACCCTTGCAAGAACTACAAACCGAAACGTTCTTGCCTCCCTTGCCTTCGCAGGCCTGGCAGATCACGCGTTTTCTCAACGCCATCTTCCTCACGGAACCATTGTAGAGTTCTTCGAGTGACACGCTGACGGGATGAGCCTTATCTCGGCCTCGGTTCGCGCGTCGACGACCACCACCGCCTCCGCCGCCGAAGAACATCTCGAAAATGTCGAACGGATTGTGGAATCCGCCGCCGCCGCCTCCACCTTCCTTGAGAGCTTGCTCACCGCCACGATCATAGATTTTTCGTTTCTCGGGATCGCTGAGAGTCTCATAGGCCGCCGCGATGAGTTTGAACTTTTCGCCCTCATTTGGATTTTTGTCCGGATGGTACTTCAGAGCGAGTTTCCTACGGGACAAAGAATAGAATGAGTATTGGATTCCGCTCGCACGTTGCTTGAACGTCGCAGATGGCACAGATTTATACCATGTGCTCTTGGACAACAGCTACAGAGATCTGATCAGAAACGCGTTTCGATTAGCGAATTTTCGTAGTAGGATGTCGTTCGGGATCTGAGTAATATTTCGTGACTGTGAGCGTCGTGCTGGGAGTACCGATACACCGCCGCGCCGTAGTGGAACGTTCGCTGCCATTCTAGAAAATACGCGCACCATTGGACTGCGATCACAGAGCTGCCACCGGGAGCACACAGTCTGGAGGAAAGTCTCGGAGGAATGAGATCTTGGAATTCGCACGAATACCTATCGAAGTCTCCCAAATTTCGAATTCCTCACACGTTCGCCGCATCAGATCCGAGCCAGCCCGAACAAGAGATCGAGCGCTTATTCTCAGTCAGAGCTAATCCGCGACTCGGCAAATCGGTGCAGCCTCCATTGGCCTTTGTGGGGCTCAGACTTTGCGCACCGACGGAACCGGGAAAGATGGCCCGCATTCTCGCAAAATACGTCGCAAACCCAAAGCTTGATGTGTTCCCCGAGCACGGAAGAAACGACGGCAGAAAGACTCGGATAAATCGGGATAAAAGATCAAGCCCTTTAAAGTAGGGGAAAAGAGAGACTCACTTGTAGGCTCTTTTCAGCTCATCGTTGGTCACGTTGGGCTTCACCCCAAGAATGTCGTAGAACTTCGTTTCTTTGACCATGGTGCGACTAGTCAGGTTTGGAGCCGGACGAGAAATGACTCGACTTCGGGATAGATGAGAGGGCCACCACGCTGCAGTGCTGCTACGATGGAAGCTTCGAGAACACCTCGAACATTCTGCCTAAAGGTCGGATACCGAGTAAACTCGATTAGCTCAGAAAATGGATATGGCTGGTCCCCGTCTGACGAATCTCCCGGATCACTGTCGATGATCGATTTCGTCTATAGTCTCAGTTAACCGAGACATTGGCTAGAGAAATCGATCAGTTTCTCCGACGCGCGATCTGGCAAATCCTTAAACGACGGAAGCCTGTTTACTTTTTCGAGTTCGATTTCAGCGCTAAAAACGACCAAAACGGAATACAAGAAATCCATGGTTTGCGCTCGCAAATTTCTTCACTGCGGTCTGAAATTCAGTCGAACGCGCGGGAAGAGCTCGAGAACAATGTCTCATCGGATATGACTTCGTTCTGAAGGTATAGTTTCTCGAGACGGAGAGAAGGAGTACCGCGTTCGGCGGGAAGCCAGTTCTCACAGCAGTCCATGACTAGACTTGGATACGCGCTCCAGGTGTGGGAGATGACAACCTCTGAGATTTGATGAGGGTCAGCTGCGCCGTGGATCAGAAATGTCGCAGAATCCCCGAGCGAGAAAAGTACGTGAAAACACTGCCAACCCTCTGTTCACGGAGTGGCTCAAGGAGTGGAGGGACGAAGCTGCCAGCAAGAATTCGCACTCGAAGCTCATCTACGCGAGAGCTTTGCAATCCCTCAACAAGTTCCCCTTGCCCCTGAAATCGGGGAAGGAGTGTAATATATTGAAAAATTTTGGTCAGAAAATCTGTGATCTGCTAGACAAGAAGCTAGAAGAATACCGGAGACTCCACCCGGAATTCGAAGAAAATGCTACGGTATCGGTACCGCTACCGAGAGAAAAATCGGCCAACCGGCCGCAGAAAAAGCGGGTTCCCGCAAGTTCCTCCGAACAACAGCCGGGACCTTCGGGAGTGCGCGCTGGCGTTGTATCGAAGGGACCCAACCCACAAGTTGCCAAGCCCAGCTCTAAATTCCAAGGAGTCCCAAATATGGCCAAAGCCCGACTTAAGCCAGCTCTTAAATCTTCTGCAATGGCTAGCCTGAGGATCCAAAAAGTCAACACCAAAGCACCCCGCGTGAAAATCGGCTCTCGGAAATCCAGCGGGAAGAATTCTAGTCAGCAAGCTCCGGTCGCGGTCATCGAGCCTCAACCGCGTTCGCCCAGTCCACCCGCCCCCGCATCGCCTCCGAGAGCTCTCATGCCCCGATTCTCACTCGACAGTCCCGTGTCGCCGATCGGGAAGGCTCGCGAACCCGCTCCAGAAGTCATCGATCTCAGTCAGCAAGACGACCCGCCCGAGCCAGACGTAGATTCTCTTCTCCTGCTGACCAATGATCTACTCGCCGCAGCGTCAGCGGGGACTGGGATGCCCAATATTACCGCTGACAATGAGAAGGATCACTGTGATATAAATCAAGAGGAAGAAGATGATTCAGATAATTTCGTGGGACGGTCTCGTCCACCCACCGAAAGCACAACGCCAACGGTGTCTCCGGCGAGAGGAGTTCTATCTCTAGAACGGCGCTCCGATGATTCTCTGATGGATCGCATAGGAGAGCAGAAGGTCAGAGATCAAGCCATCGAAGATTCTTTCGATGATCTCCTTCCGCGACCGAACAAAGCATTGATCGAAGAAGATGATTCCATCCTGGATATAACGGCCGGAATAAGGAAGAAACGAGAGAGTTTTTTGAAGAAACTCGCCTCACAAGCTCCTCCGAAGCAGGCTATCCTTTCGGAGGCTCCAGACTCGAGTTTCCTCAATTCTCCGAGCTCATCGGTCGCTGTAACCGTTCCGGACTATCCTCATTGTCAGGAGAACCACTGCGGGGCCGAGCTTCCAGATGAGCTCCGAGAAGCACAGAAGACTTCCACGAGGGAAAACGCTCCGCTTGTGATTTCCGAGGACTCCGATGACGAACTCTTGGTACCACTATCCGAACGCTTGAAACTGAATAAGGCACCAGCCGAGACTCCAACTCGGAAAGACTCTTTCGCGCTCCTGGTGGAAAACTTGGAAACACCACCAGTCTGTCGAGTCATGAAATCAACTGAGAACGATGCTGTCATAGAACCGGATATCGAGCGGCCACGGAAACGATCGAAGGAGACGGAAGCGAATCTGGATGGGGATGCCGCTCCGAAGAAGAAGCGTTAGTATCAAATTGGATTTCATTCTTTCCGATGGAAGGGAACGATTTTAAGAATCGAGATTCATCGACTCTTCAAGTGAATAATAGTTTCCCAGTCATCTCGATCTTTCTATGGGAGATTTTTCCTGTCGAATGCCGCGGCTCTAGATCGCTCCTATTTCAGCAAGAAAACAAAAGAACAAGGGCCCAACCGCGGAGGAAGTTCCGACTCGAGTTTTCAAGTTACGTTATGTCCCTGAAGGCAGCCGACTTCCGGTATCGAATCATATAAGTCATCCTGCTTCGAAATGTCCTCATCGGATTTCAATGCCATCTGGTACATTCGACATCGTGCTCTGCGTCGACAGCTGTGAAGCCACTGGTGGTGAGTTCCATGGTGTCTCAAACGCCAGGAAGGGAGTTCCATGATGAGCTTCCTTCGAGAATCCGGATTCGAATCGACGCTGAGAATCGCTCAGACGTCTAAAACCTTCACCCCTGTCGTAATATACTCGACGTCATAGCCTCTGACCTTAGCTCCTGTCGTCGACCTCGTCCGTGCGGCCATCGATTCGGTTGCCGAGAGCTGCGGGCTTCCCTAAAGAATCGTTATTTTTAGGTGTTGCGACGAAGAAAAAAGAGGCCATGATTCAGGCTCTGCAGGACTCTGGCGTGAAAATGGAAGTTCGTAAAATGAACGTCGGTGATTTTGCCTGGATCGCGAAGAGCGGTGATCACGAATTGGTGTTAGATTGTGTCGTTGAACGCAAGCGGAGCGATGATCTCGCTTCGTCCATCAAGGATGGACGCTACGCCGAACAGAAGCATCGTTTACTCACTTCGGGCATAAAGCGAAAGATCTACCTTATCGAAGAGTACAACCGATTCGCGACGGGAGGCATCACCGACCAAGCGTTGCTGCAAGCTCAGATGAATACGCAAGTTATCAACGACTTCATTGTGAAAATCACAAAAAACACCAAGGAAAGTGCACGTTACCTGACAACCTTAACCAGAGCCTTGGAAGTCAAATACAGGAATTTGCATCTACGTTCCTGTCTCAAGGAAGAGGCCCAAATGTATGAAAATCATTTGATGACATGGCAGGAATACAACGAGGCTGGTTACAAGCGGAAAAAAATCTGCACGAGGGAAATGTTCATACGCGCCCTCATGGTGATCAGAGCGATGTCCTTAGAGCGAGCCTTGACAATAGTCGCGGTTTATCCGACTGTTACGGCCTTAGTTCAAGCCTTCGATAGATGTGACGATACTAAACAAAAGGACAAATTGTTGGCCGACCTCAAGTGCCCTATTAGCGGGAGACGCATCGGACCGGCCTTGAGTAAGGCTCTCAAGCAAATATTTGTACATTGTCCTAGTGAGGAATAGTTTTAATACAGGATTTTGTTTCAACTTGGCTTTTCGGAGGGTTGGACTGACTAGTTGGCGCCGCTAAGCTTTCCGATGAGATCGAAGTATGTACTTCCATCATTCGTATCGAAGTAGTTCCATCATTCGTAACGACAGCCCAAGTATACCAGTGAGGAAATAAAACTCAGCGAGTATCCGTCCGGCGCGGCGTATCCCGTCACGTGGGAAGATTTCAGCAAGGTCGCCCGCGGACATCTGAGGCGGCGTGAAGTTATCTCCGAGGTCTGAATGTCTCTCGAGGTGTGCCATGACGCGCAACGATTGTGTGATTGATGAGTTTTTTTTCGAGGATCACATAAACTCCTCTCGAATCCGCCTAGCTCTCGAAAGATGAGTGCAGGCGAAGAAAAGACGGCAGCTCTCCGACAGCGTTCCCGATGATTATGATCGAATATCTCGAGGCCTCCGGAGATGGCTCACAATCAGAAGCGTACGCGGAACACTCTCCGGCCCCTATGCCGGAATCTCGTCGACTATGTGTCCTTCCCCGGAACAAGGAAACTTATCCGCCGGGTATGCATTTCTGCCACACATTTCAGGGAAGGTCTCGGCTCCGTTCCGGCTGCACGCAAGCTGCCACCGGGCATCGAGTGTTCTATCCTAGATTCTGGGAATGCTTGATCGCCGATAGCTTCGGACTCGCGCTACCGGGGTGGGATTGGGCTCATATGCTCTCTCGTTCGTCGACACGATGCGTATCGAGACGAAGAATATTTCGGCAATCTATGCCAGTAGAAGATTTATACTTTGTCTGACTCAGTGAGGCGAGTTCGGCTTCGTGGAGCCCTCCTGAGAAGCTCCCTCCCGATGCGACGTGAACTCCCTTGTGGAGAGGTCTCTCACCAAGTGGAATGTGCAGCACATGAGCCATGACTGTGGTGCATCTCACATGGGACTTGACGCGGTATCACCTCCTTGTTTGAGATTCGAGACGACTTTCCCGAGAGGCGGAGCTGCGGTACTCTCCCGCAGTCTCCCTCGAAGGTCTGAATTAGTCGGGAACTGCGGCATACGGAGGTTATCCTCCCTTAGAAACGACGAGGAAATTCTCTCACAGGAGCGGGCTACCGGCTCGTCGTCAGACACGGACGAGCAGCACAATTTCGGATTGGAGCTGAATTCCCCGAATCCGGCGCGTGCAGCGGAACCGGTGACAACGACTATCACGTGTCGTGATTTCCCAATGAGCGAATCTCTCATAGTTGGAGCCTATAGCGCGGCAGCTACCATCATCGGCTTATGGCAAGCGCTGAGCTCGGATCAACACGTCTATTGTTCCGGATTCTAGTTCGGAGAGCGGAGCGTGATCCTTCCTCTGAATCTGCAAAACTCAGGTCGAACTTCTCGGTCATGCGGAGGAAGATGTCTATCACCGAGCTCCTACCTGAACAGAGGATTCCGGACGATCGACACTCCACACTGTGTGCGTGACATGGAAGTACTGTGACGACGTTGGTTGGGAGTGAGAAAAGTCTGCAGAACGAAAATCTTATTACGCGCCCTCATGGTTGCTCGGAGAATGTCTTTGAAGCGGGCCTTGTAGAAGGCGAACGTTCACCCGAAGTTTCATAGAGTCAATTTGATCGTGCGAGTGTGAGGAAATCGAATACTAAGGGGAATTCCTCGCCGATCAGGAATGAGCCCAGAGCGGGTCACGAATAGGGTCATTGCTGGGAGTCTTGGGACTCATGCGAAGTCCACTTCTCGCGTGACGAACAGAGCTCATTCTAGAAGGTTCGGCACCATCATTGATTACCGCTCACAAAACATGGATCTTTCGAGGAATCGATTAACTATCTCTGAGGACAGCAGAACCTTCAAAAAATTCATATGCCCCTCGTTGTATGGATGAAGGCGGAGTATAGTGATCCATGTCTGATCGCCCAAGCTCTACTCACGAGAAGCGCTTGGAATTCGTCCGGAGCTGCACTCCTACTCAGGAAGTTATATGAGTTATACACTTGAGTTATACTCAATGAAGAAAATATTGTCAACGAGCGGATCTCTCATTGAGAGGAGTGGAATCTGCGTTCAAGATGAACATTTGCGTATTTTCTAGGTTGAATGTTCCAAGCTTGACCCTTAGACAGGAAGTCGAGTGAAAATGGCCGCATGAATATTAATTCGTCATAGCTTGAGAGTTTATCGGTCGGTCCCTGTACCCGCTATGTGGAAGTGAACGCGCTCGACACTGTTTCGCTCTCTTCCCCGGAACGCATTTACAGCCGTAAGCTTGACCCAGTGTTTCCTCATTTCCGTTATAGGTCGACTGCGAGAAACCAATCGGCGCCGAAGGGAAGAACATTCCATTACGAAGCGGGACAGCTCTATTTTTCTCGAAAATATATGTACAAAAAAATATATTTATTCCAAATAATTTCTTGGATTTTTCCCGGAGATGCTACTCTCCCGAGAGTATGCAGGAGATCTGTCCCACGCCAGCTCAATGCCGGATATGTACAGGGTCTGTTTTGATACAGAAGCCAGCCTGTGGAACTCTATAGTAATTCGGCCGACGAGCCGAGTACCTACGAATATGGCTTTCGAAGAGTCTGTCGAGTTTGGAGTGTCGTCATCCTTTGAGATCCCGCGCGAGTCCAGCGCGGCATATCGAAGCATCCATCCGTCATTGAGATTCGGATCCGCAGCTCATTAGAATCCTCCTGCTCGGGTTACAGATTGTTTTCGTCTGGATCGAATGACGCCGACGATTGCTGACGACTGAATGAATTGAATGCGGATTGACGAGGCAGTCGAAGTATGTCCCGCGATTCCCTCGGCAACAACGCTGTCACGCTGGACTCTGGCTCATGTCAGACTGGGGCACTTGCGGACAGGCTCGTTTTTTCGGTGATATTCAGTTGGATTCGGGTTCCGTTCCGGTTCGAGTTCAATTTGGGAGTTGCTGCTATTTCACCGATGAGCTCCGCATAAAGTAGCGAATCCAAGTTAGGTCCCATCATGTACAGGAAGAACCAATCGGCGATGTTCGTGCTCTTCACTACGAGGCGAACATCGTCTGGATCGCCGAGATGGCACCGGTTCATCAAAAGTCTTTCCCGCATCGAGGGCAGCATCAGAATCAAGAAACGATACACTATCAGCCCCGAGAGGACGGTCAGGAGGAAAACGAACCAGAACCAAGCGAGAACGTAGAGCTTCTCGTTGAACACGTTTTGAGGAAGGACGCAGAGGATATCCTCCTTCATAACGTCTCCAGACGGTCCGAAGCGTCGGAAGATGCATTTTGTCATACGGGGAAAGACGAATCTCATCGGATCCATCCGATCCTCGTCGTCCTGATTCAGGAACTCGAGGACTTTGATCCCGTAGTTCATGAACTCCCCTCCGAGGAACGTATCCATCAGGAACATCTGCATGAGCACGTTCAGAAAACACAGCATTTCACAGAACAGATACTTGTACGTGTAGAGATTCCGTTTCCCAAAGTTTCGATCGACCCAGAGCGTGATCGTCTCGCGCTTTTTGCGTCGCTCATCGTCGCTCTTGGCCGGCCCAGAGGTCAGGGCGCCCATGAGACCTCCCTCCCAGTTTTTCCACACGTAATGCGGCAGGTAGAAGACGACGGCCTGCACGATCAGCGTCAGATACACCCATTGGTAGTAGGCCACGTGCTTTTTGCGTCCGTAGAAGGCCGAGTTGTCTATTCCGGGGGCGGCGATCTCCGACCCGATTCTCTTGTGATGAGCGTCGGGCAGAGTGAACGTCGGATGAATCCAACAGTAGGAATTAGCAACGATCGCTGGAACTTTCTCCGGTGGAATGCATTCGATCGGAGTGCCGATATACTGTCGCGCGGAAACAATTACGGCCAGGAACAGCAGCAAACCAGCTGTGAACTGCCAGTGCAATCTGAAGACGCCATTTTCTACGATGGCCCCTTTTTTCCGATGACGGAAAATTCTGTGAATGCCGTCGAAAATCCCGATCATGATGGACGTTCGCGGATTTACGCGCCAGCGGAACGAACGCGCCGACGGTAATCTGGTTGCGCAGTCTAGCTATGGGGTGATCAGTTCGCTCTCACGTGCTTCCGTCTCCTTAATCCTGGGCTGCGGAGCTGACGCTGCGTACTGCGGCGCGATACTTTATGACGGAGTGCCATATCCGGGCCGGGTCTCACTAGACCGAGCCAGAGTGCTGGGTAAACCGACGATGGGCTCTACGTTTACGCGACAGGTGTCCGGAGTTCGCGACAAAATTCTTTCTCCTGTCAATTTCGACTCAGTCACCACTTTCGAAGGAGTTCGCTGAGATCAACACATCTCTGGAACTTGCCGCAGCGAAGGAAAAATAACACTATCCGTCGTAGTTTTCTGATTGTTCGTCATTTCACAAAGTCGTTTCCAATCGGTGTCAAGCTCTTCCGACCGAGTGAACTAGTCGCGGGCTATGTCGCCTGCTTCAGACTCAAGGAGACACGGAGCGATAGGACAGCGCGGACGTGGCGCCATCCTTCGGAATCGCTCTGAAATCACAGACGGTACGGCATTCGGCTCCGAACGATGGCTCATTCCTACGACGGCTCACCAGCGATTAAACTGTATGGACCCGCACGGGAGACTGACGAGAAGGGAAATGTCACAATCTAACGAATCGAAGTTTCTGAGGCTCCCCGACGACGCGCCATCGACTTGGAGCTCCGGCTTACGCAAAACAAGCGGAAAAGAATCGAATGTTTCTTCCGTTATGCGCGGCTCTAACTTTGTCTGCAACGGGAAAGCCAATGATGTCATGCTTTGTATTCAATATTTGGTACGAGAATCCTGCCCCGAACGGTCCCTCAAGCATGCACATTCGCCGCATGAGCGCGTACGGAACGGGCTTCACCGCCCCGTGTCCGAGGAAATCAGAGAGTATTGAGAGATCGGTCTCCAGCTTCGACCCGGGACAGCCTGAGGGTCGAATCGTTTTTCCTGATTGCGAGTCACCGAATCCGGTTCTCTGGTTCGGCAGCTGAGTTTCGCACGCACCTGACTGAGTGGTCCTCTGCGATATTTTCGCATTCGGAGCCACCAGAAGTGGGAATACGGCATCCAGGGGTGCTGATGGCACACTCCCGAACTATTCCCCTCATGTGCTACCTTGCGGCTTTCGCCGGTGCTTCATCAGGGACACGCTGTCTAGGATAGGAGTTACGTCGGAGTTATCTCTTCGAGTTAGAGAAAGTCAACTCTCGATACAGTTCGTCAACCATCCGTCATCCTGCCACATTTAGGTCAATCGCCGGCGTTCTCGCGTTCCGCTTCCCACGTCAGCCTAGGTGCTCGCTGCGGGATTCCACCCTGCGCGGAGCCTTCGAGGTATCGATCTCCGGAATCGTCATCGAGGCAAACGCATCGAGGAAGTACCGAATATTCGTCCTGCGAATCAAATGCTCGTCTGGGCTGTGAATCGAAGGGATCAATGCGAGTCCTCGAAGAAGAGCGAGGGTCTCGCTTCCTGCGGCCACATCGGGCAATCGATGACTTCAGACAATCGGCATCAATTAATTCTTAGAATTAGATAATCTAAATCCGTACGATCGATCGAGACTTTGCGGCGGCCCGAACGTAAACGAAGAGGCATCCGAACCCTACGTATGCGCTCAGCGACTTCCGAATTGTGCCGCTAGAAAACTCTAACTCGTGACGACGGTCGCTGTTTACAAACAACGGTTCGAGGGACGACAATCGATTGCTCGCTCACTCTGTCAGCCTCTCGTTTCCCTTCCTTCCCGAGAGTTGCCACCTCCGAGAATGCTGCAATGATCAGCGGTAGCTCTAGAATCTATCCGTTGTTGGATCGGATCGATTCGAATCTATTTGAAGAAGTCACAGCAGTCAGACGGCTGGAAACATGGTCGGCAGTCGCATCGACTTTGCCCAGCTCGTTTGCAAAGGGAGAAAGCTTCGAGAAGTGCTCGACCTCATTTTGAATGAATTCGAGAATTGGATCTTAGTCTGGAGGAGGGTCATGCGACGAGATCCGACGTTTCAGGATTCGGTTATGACATTCATGGCCATCAGAGTCTAGAAAGAAAAGCTGAAAGGGTGTGGCATTTGATGTTTGAAAGGGGTTCTGAAAATTTGAATCAATGGCCTCCGTATCACCGTGTCAGTCATAATCATGATTGCATCTCAGTCAGCGGATTCTACCATCATCTCGCCACGTCCCTGAACATACAGCGCCTATTGCTCGACCGTGTGTTACGAGAAAGTTCACGATTAATTGTGAATGGATTCGGGAGCTTTGATGACGAGCTTGCGTCAGAGGGAAGAATCGGAATAATTGCAGCTGATACCCTCACGGGACCAGATCTCACAGTTGCAAAGGAGAGTGGGCACGGGGACGGAACTGTGCTGCAATAGATTGCGGAGACGAAGTTTTGCATCGTGGTTCGTGACCTGCAGAAAAATAACCCGCTCAGACAGCATGGGTTCGAGTGTTTTCAGTGTTTCGCCGGCATTGTTGTCCTGTTCGGTCTCACGGAGCCAATCACTGAGAGGGTGCACCCCCCAACCATGAATAGTCGGCGATAAGTTGCGAATGATCAGGCATGCCGGAGTGAATTATGAACTGTGTGAGCAATCCGCCCGCGTCAGGACACGATCCACACGCAGGAGTCAATTATAAATCTTATCGAAGCCCGACGACCATAGCAGCTTCCGATGACAGGAGATGACTGGAAGCTCCCTTCCCCGAATTCTATAAATATTCAGTGACTCCTCCCCAATTTGTTCGATCAACCCAACGAGAACATATTCCCCCTTCTCGAGTCAACCTTGAAAAACGTTATCGATCCTCACATGAGCTCGACTCCAGAGCTTTCGTTGTTCCCTGAGCGCTGTCAACAACTTGTCGAGTATCCCGTCACATGGCTCGGGGAGGCACGCCAAACTCCAAACTCTTAGTGACAACTTTCACGCGCTGTTGACTATGAGAACGTTCCGACCGACCATGGAACGAACGGGGTCCTGGAGGGCGGCGGGCTGAGCAAGCAGTCACCCAGCCAACCGGCTCAGTGAGAAACCACAAAACAACCCATTCGGTCCATTATTCCGCGCTCAGAACGAAGAAAGAACAGGAAGTGCGAAAAAGTCCTTTCCTGGAGTAGGGAAAAAACACGAGCAGACAGACTCGATTCCTTTGAGCGAGGCTGCGGTCGCGTAAAGTCGGTTGGAGTCGAAGAGGGTAGCTGGTACATTCTTCCGGGATTCGACGCGACGCCCCGAGCAAATGGGCGGTCAGCAGAGTAGGTAAACCAGACGACGGACAAGAAAACGCCTTGATGTTCCCCGCGTCACATGACAGGACAATCTGGGCAAGGAAAACCTACCTGTTACTCAGTATGGGCTGGCGCGAGATGACAAGACGGGATTCAGTTGCGTTCCACGTGAGAAATTAATTGCTCAGCCGAGAACGTTCGTCATGCGAGAAATTCATCCACGCCGGAAGCGACTGATCTCGTTATCAGTATATCGTCTGGCTGCCGGAGGCTCGGCCGGTTCTTAGGGGGGTCATCGCCTCCTCGTTCGGGAAATTCGTCAGCTCAGGAAGTTCGGTATGCACAGGGAACATACTATGCAAAGGGGCTACTTCGTAGGATGTACCTGTGAAGCTTATTCTGTCTCGCGGTGAGCTAATGAGGTTTTGATTCCGTTCCGGAAAAAGCGAGAATCCCAATGCAATGACTGCAGCCGTTCCATGCAGATTCCGCGAGGGAGAGGCGATAGACACCGTGAGACGGATATTCTAGCTCGATGGGCCCATCGCCCATCGTGACTTCATTCATAGCTTCACCGACTTCGCGAAGCGTCGGGATGCATTCGAGCCAACCGTGTTTCGACTTCGATGTGACGCGCTTTTTCTGTTCACTCAGCCCTGACTCGATCTGAAGCATGATCTGAAAACCATACGCGGGCTCATCAGTCTCATGAGTTGCCGGACGGCGGCGCGGCGTCGACAATTTCTGCTGGAATAGTACTCTGAGAGTAGAAAGTTGTGGGAATCATTCTAGTATCGAGTGTCATCCGTCGGCGTCGTATCGAATCGGATTATCCCACCAGTAGGCATAGAATGAGGGAGAGCGAAGTCGAAAGACGATGTCGCTCGGACGCTTTGAATCTCGATTCTGAAGCGCTTATCGAAACCCTGGATACTTGGCACTAGTTTTTCCCCCGGAGAGAATCCGAAACCATTCCATTCGAGAATGGATATCGGCTTTCCGTCGCGATCGCTCTCAAGCTTTTCGGGCCGACCCGTCTCTGACTAGCCGACTGGATTCAAAAGATTGTCGACAATCCGGAGAAAATAATAAACTCTGACCATTAGAACGAAAATCTTGCTCACGGCATCAATCGCCCCGTCGGCTGTCGAACCAGCCGGCGGATTCCGAACAGTTTCGATAAACATATTATTCGACCGGCGAAGCGGGGGAAAATCTCGATTGAGAAGCTGAACGTGCGTATTTTCCGTAGCCGACGTCCCACTCTCGAGAATTCGGAATACCTTGCGCTTTTCCCCTCACTCGGTTTCGGTTTCAGTCGTTTCCCACCGCAATCAGAGGTCCCGGGACGAAAGCGATAACGGCACCTAAATGAGTCTCTTCGGTTTTGTGAGAACGTGAGCCTCTTGTCCCCGAATGGACGCACGTTCTTTGTCACGCGGGACATAAACGCAACGTTATCGGGACGGCTCACAGATCCATGATTCACCAAATGAAACTCGCTCTGTGCGAAGGTATACGGCGCGAAATCCAAGCCGTTCAAGTGCGCACACAGTCACGTGGGATCTCCGTGAGAATCCCGGGCCCAGTATCGTTTACGGAGATAATGGTTCTCTCGCGGAGAAACCGAACTCGAATATGTGAGGTCTCTTTCCGGTACGACGCCATGGACGGGCGTCGCTCCCGCTAAAGACTCGTCCCCGTTCGGGGGGCGCGACGAGGAAT